GTAGGTCTGTATTCAGATTTCTGAGGTATCTCCATGCTGTCTTCCGTAGTGGCTTTACTAGTTTACATTCCCACCAACAGTGGATTAGGGTACCTTTTTCCCCACTTCCTTGCCAGCATTTGTTGTTTGTTGATTTCTGTATGTAAGCCACTCTCACTGGGGTGAGGTGAAACCTCATTTTTGGTTTTGATTTGCATTTCCCTGACAGCTAGCGATCCTGAGCATTTTTTCACGTGTCTGTTGGCCATTTGGATTTCCTGTGTTGAAAAATGTCTGTTTACGTCCTCTTCACTGGGTTATTTGTTTTGTTGTTGTTGAGTTTCTTGATCTCTTTATATATTCTGGTTATTAATCCTTTATCGGTTGTGTAGTTTGCATATAATTTCTCTCATTCTGTTGGTTGCCTCTTCACTTTCCTGAGTGTTTCTTTTGCAGTACAGAAGCTTCTCAATGTAATCACACTTCTGAATTTGGGCTCTGATTGCTTGTGCCTCTGTGGTCCTTCCCAAGAAGTTCTTGCCTGTGCCAATGTCTTGCAGGGTTTCCCTGTTGTTCTCTAATAATTTGATGGTGTCAGATCATAGATTTAGGTCTTTAATCAATGTTGAGTGGATTTGTGTGTAAAGTGTAAGATAGGGGTCTTGCTTCATACTTTTGCGTGTGGAAACCCATATTTCCCAGCACCATTTTTTGAGGAGACCGTCTTTGCTCCAGGGATTGGTTTTAGCTCCTTGGTCAGATATAAGTTGGTTGTAGATGCTTGGATTGATTTCTGGTGTGTTTCTGTTCTGTACCACTGGTCTATCCAATGCCAGGCTGTTTTGATTATAACTGCCTTGTAGTATTGTCTTGAAATCTAGTATTGTGTTACCTCCAGCTTTGTTTTTGTTTGCTTTAGCTATTTGGGGTCTCCTGTGTTTCCATATGAATTTCAACATTTTTTCTATACTTGAGAAGAATATCCTTGGTATTTTGATTGGTGTTACAATGAATTTGTAAATTGCTTTTGAAAGTATGGACATTTTGATGATACTGCCTCTTCCAATCCATGAACATGGAAGATTTTCCCATTTATTTTGTTATCTTCTATTTCTTTAATATTTTGTAATTCTCACCGAGAGATCTTTGACATCCTGGTTAAGTTTATTCCAAGGTATTTGATTTTTTTTGTAGCTATTGTGAATGGGATTGATCTTAGAAATTCTTTCTCAGCTATGGCATTGTCTGTGTATACAAAGGCTGTTGATTTCTGTGTATTGACTTTATATCCTGCTGCTTTACCAAACTCTTCTATGAGTTCCAGTAGTCTCTTAGTGGAGTCTTTTGGGTCTCCTGTATATAGAATCATGTCATCTGCAAATAGGGATAGTTTGACTTCTTCCTTCCCAGTTTATATTCCTTTGATTTCTTTCCCTTGCCTAATGGCTCTGGCTAAAACTTCCAGGACTATATTTTATAGCAATGGTGACAGTGGACATCCCTTTCTGGTACTGGATCTCAGTGGGAATGCTTCCAACTTTTCCCCTTTTAATATGATGCTGGCCATGGGTTTGTCATAAATTGCCTTGATTGTATTGAGGAATGTTCCTTCTATACCCAATTTGCTTAGAGTTTTCATCATGAAAGGTGTTGTATTTTATCAAATGCTTTCTCTGCATCTGTTGAGATAATCATATGGTTTTTGTTCAGTTTTTTAATGTTATATATTACATTGATTGATTTGCAAATATTGAACCATCCCTGCATGCCAGGGATAAATCCCACTTGGTCTGGGTAGATGATCTTTCTGATGTATTGTTGGATTCACTTGGCTAGAATTTTGTTGAGGATTTTTGCATCTATGTTCATCAGGGAAATTGGTCTGTAATTCTCTTTTTCAGTTGCATCTTATTCTGGTTTAGGAATTATGGTGAGGCTGGCTTCATAGAAGAATTTGGGAGGATTCCCTCCCTTTCAATTGTTTTGAATAACTTGGGAAGAATTAGAGTTACTTCTTCTTTAAATGTCTGGTAGAATTCATCAGTAAAGCCATCTGGTCCTGGTCTTTTCTTTGTTGGGAAGGTTTTTATTACTGATTCAATTTCTGTCTTGGTAATGGGTCTCTTTAGGTTTTCTGTGTCTTCATGGCTCAATTTAGGTAGGTAGGTTCTATGTGTCCAGGAATCTATCCATTTCTGCTAGGTTTCCTAATTTGTTGGTGTACAGCTCTTTGTAGTAATTTCTGATGATTCTTTTTATTTCTGTGGTATCTGTTGTTACATTTCCTTTTTTATCTCTAATTTTATTGATTTGGGTCTTCTACTTTTTTTGGTTAGTTGGGCCAATGGTGTGTCAAGTTTGTTTATTTTTTCAAAAAATAGCTCTTTGTTTTGCTGATCTTTTGTATTTTTTGGTTTCATTTTTGTTGGTTTCTTCTCTAATTTTATTTATTTTCTACTAGTTTCAGGTTTGATTTGATGTTGACACCCAGGTTGGATGTGGTAAATCTCTTTTTTTTTCTTTTATCAGAGGGAAGATTTTTCTTCTGTTGGTGTAGACTCAGCTCATTTCCTCTCCTCAAAGGAGACCAGTGCCTGGGCGCTAGCCCTAGTGGGTATAATATTCATCTGTACTTCCACAAGGACCCCACAGAGGATTGGTACAGTCCTTGGTGTAAGCAGATTCCCCAACAGAGTCCCTCACCAGGGAACCAGGGAGCCCTGATCATGTGGAGCCTCCCACAGTGACTGCCCAGAGTCCCAGCCACACCCTGCATGCACACAGCCTCAGTGTTTTCTCGGTCCTGGCTCACAAGCCTCCCACAGTCACAAGCACCCAGGCCCGGATCAGTTCTCCCAGCCAGACTCCAGAGTCTCCGCTCTGCTGATTGCTGGGTGGACACGAGCTGGCACAGCTGTTATGTACATCCAAAAATGGCACCCACTCTGAATCGGCTTGTTATAGGACGCTGTTGCAAGGTGATGGGAGAGAGAGAAACGTGTCCCCCTCTTTTTTCTCCTCTAGTTTGGCAGTAGCTTGGGCTGCTGCAGTCTGGGCTCACCTCTCTCCAAAGCTGTGTGGAGGCTCGGCTGCTGGTGTCCTGAGCTGTGCGTGTCCACGCCCTCTGCATAGGTCTGTTGTGTCCCTCTAATTTGCATAGTTTCCTCTGCCATTTTCTCCCTGACTCTTCCCAGAAACTGCACTCTCTCCCCTTTTTAAAGCTGTCTTTCCTGGACTAGAGCAGGAAGCTACCTCGCTACTCCACCATCTCGGCTGACTCGTCTTTTGCTTGGCTTTTTCTGTTTCTGGATTTCTGCTGTGTTCCTTTGGCAGTCAGGGTCCAAAGGAGGTAGACACTACATAATACCTCCAACAGGGGAAGTTTAACATAAAGAATTACTAATTATAATAGGAGATTAAGTGTAAGATATGAAGAACTCTGTCTGATATTTGGGACTGAGGAAGAGTACCCAAGGAAGGACAAACTTGGAGGGGTTCAGACCTCAATAGGGAAAGTGAGGTTCAGCCACTAGCTAGCAGTGATGCTGGCTGGGATAAGCCGGGCTGCTCTGGAGTTGCCCCTTCCAAATGCAAGTGGGCAGCTGGCAGTCAGCAGGGAGTGGTATGGGTGTGCACTGGGAGCCCCGTGACACACAGACCCTAGAGGGTGGCAAGTCTTGCTTCACTCATTATTTTGTGGTGGGCTACCCTTTGGGCTACAGCTTGAACATGTGACTGGGGAAGGTTATCAGTACACCGAGAGGGAAGGTCACAGAGGAACCTTATTCTGGACCTGTGGCTGGGCTGGGCTCACATCCTTCCCAGGGTTTAGGAATTACAGCAAGTCTCGCAGTGTGCCTCTAGCGCCCTCTACTGAAAAGGCTCAGTATTGCATGCACTTTTCCTTCCTTGAAGGAATTCCATGGTTTACCATAGACCGTACATTGAAGGATGCATTTAAAATTGAAAGACAGTAGAATGATAAGTGACACAGTTGCATTGGTCGGTCTTTCCATGTGCTGTTATTCAGTATTTTTTATTATTGGAGATTCATAGTGTATTTGAATATCTGTTAATTCTTGCACTGTTACAAATTGATCTTCTCTTCCAATAAGAGTTTTCAAATAAATTTGTCTAATCCTAGAAAAAACACTTTGTGGCAACTGCTAGATGTGAGCCAGGCATGGAGCCAGGTACTCAGTTCAACTCTCCCATGAGGGTGGCACAGACCCAACTACTTGAGCTATCATCTGCCACCTCCCAGGGTGTATCAGCAGGAAGCTGGAAATGGGAGTGGAGCTGAGACTTGAACCCAGGCACTCTGATACGGGAGGGCGGTGTCCTAACTGATGGCTTAACCGCCAAGCCAAACGTCCACTCCTAATCTTGTGCTTTTTTAAATACTCCTGTAGAATAAGTTCCCATCATGAAAAATTTCCTGTGGTTAACAATAACAACAAAACCAATCAAGAAATACACTAGAAGATGAGTAGTGCACACCGCTTATTCCCACCCCTCTGAGTTAATATTTTCATACACATCTTTCAGGATGTATTTGTAATCCTATTTAGATGTGAATATTTTTTTTTTTATTTTTGACAGGCAGAGTGGACAGTGAGAGAGAGAGACAGAGAGAAAGGTCTTCCTTTGCCGTTGGTTCACCCTCCAATGGCCGCCGCTGCAGCCGGCGCACCGCGCTGATCCGATGGCAGGAGCCAGGATCCAGGTGCTTTTCCTGGTCTCCCATGGGGTGGAGGGCCCAAGCACCTGGGCCATCCTCCACTGCACTCCCTGGCCATAGCAGAGAGCTGGCCTGGAAGAGGGGCAACCGGGACAGAATCCGGCGCCCCAACCGGGACTAGAACCCGGTGTGCCGGCGCCGCAAGGTGGAGGATTAGCCTATTGAGCCACGGCGCCGGCTCAAGATGTGAATATTTTTAAAATAAAAAAGTTTTAACACTTTTCAGCTGTTGCAACTGCAGGTGTAACTTAGCAATGTCTTTTGCTTCTCTTTCCAGCTATTTTCCCCACCCATGAGCCTTTGAGGATGTTGTAATGTCCCTCCGTGCCTCGTGTTGCAAGGAGTTTACACAGCTGCTACCTAGTCAAGACATGGATATCAAAAACTCACCATCCAGCCTTCACTCTCCTGCCTCCTACAACTGCAGTCAGTCTGTCTTACCCCTGGAGCACGGCCCCCTCTACGTCCCTGCCTCCTACGTAGAGAACCACCACGAGTACCCCGCCATGACCTTCTACAGCCCTGCCATGATGAATTACAGCGTCCCCAGCGGCGCCAGTGAGGCGGACCGTGGGCCGGGGCGACAGCCCACAAGTCCAGATGTGCTGTGGCCGACTCCTGGCCACCTGTCTCCTTTAGCCATCCGTTGTCAGTCGTCACTTCTGTACCCAGAACCTCAGAAGCCTTCGTGGTGTGAAGTGCGACCGCTGGAGCACACCTCGCCTGTGAACAGGTGAGGCCGGCCTTCGTTCTGAGCCGTATTCCGTGGGGACTCGGCTCCCCTCCCGGTTACCGAGAAGACGGACGTGCGTTCCCAGTGTCTTCATTTATGAGGACCCTTCAGAAAGTTCGTGGAGTGTGTGTGTGGCGCTGGAGTTCACATTTTAATTCCATTGTCCCCTGAACTTTTTGAGCAACTCTCGTAATAAGTCATTCATTACTTGGAGCACCTAAAACGTGATGCACTGTTTTATTCTTCCTTTATTTTTTTTTAAGATTGACTTATTTATTTGAAAGGTAGAGTTACAGAGAGGCAGAGGCAGAGAGAGAGAGAGAGAGTCTCTTACCCAGTGGTTCACTCCCCAGGTGGCTGCAATGGCCAGAGCTGGGCCAATCTGAAGCCAGGACTTGAACCCGTATCCGTATGGGATGCTGGCTCTATGAGCAGCAGCTTTACCCACTATGCCACAGCGCTGGCCCCATGTTCTCTTCTAATATTCCAGTCCTCATTGAAAAATTGTACTTGTAGGTGAGTGTTGCAGGCACAGCTCACTATTGTGAATGCTGCTGTATTTATACTATAAAAATTATCTTCCTTTTTTCCTAAGTTTGAATACCAAATTTTTAAATTTTAGGTTAGACTCATAGTGAAATCACAATATAGTGTTCATGAAAAATTGTTCCCAGGATAAAAATAAGTGTGGCAGTACTACAACTTAAAGGAATACTAGCCGCCTGAAACCTGTAAAGACAGGCAATTGGTACAGCTTAAAATTTTTTGAGAAGCAGAGAAAGAGAAGGAGGGATAGGCAGCATCCCTGTATCTGCTGGTTTACTCTCAAATGCTCACAGTGGCAGGAACCAGGCCAGACTGAAGCCGGGAACTGGCAGCTCCATCATGGTCCGCCCTCTAGGTGGCAGTGTCCCACCTGCTGGGGCATCACTGCTGCCTCCCAGAGTGCACATCGGCAGAGAGCTGGAGTGAAGGGCCCAGGCACATCCATGTGGGTGCAGGCATCCTAATTGCTAGGCCAGACGCCCAGCCCATTATAAAGTTGGTGGGAAACCATTTAATATAGACATCATTTGAAATTTCCTGAAGTGGAAAAGAATATTTGTACTCTTTAAATGCAAGGTAAGATGGATTATTTCAGTCTAATAATACTTTCTTTTTTTTTTTTTTTAAAGATTTATTTATTTGAGAGGTAGAATTACAGAGAGAGGGAGGGAGAGACAGAGAGAATGGTCTTCCATCTGCTGGTTCACTCCCCAAATGGCCGCAACAGCCAGCTGGTACTGGGCAAGTCTGAAGCCAGGAGCTTCCTCCGGGTCTCCCACGCAGGTGCAGGGCCCAAGGACTTGGGCCATCTTCTGCTGCTTTCCCAGGCCACAGCAGAGAGCTGGACAGGAAGAGGAGCAGCTGGAACTAGAACTTGTGCCCATATGGGCAGGTGGAAACTTGGCCTACAGCCAGAGCGCTGGCCTCAGTCTAATGGACATTTTCAATGATCGTTGTACCTCTGAAGGGAAGACATTAATGAGGGGAAGAGAAGAGGGAGATGAAATTCTAAAACAGTGAAAGTTAAATGAGAACATGTTGGATATGAAAGTTCATTACTTTCTTTTCTTATTTGAAGGGCGGAGTGTAAGGGAGGGAGGGAGGGAGGGAGGGAGGGATATATATATAGAGAGAGCTTCCATCTGGTGGTTCACTCCCCAAATGACCACAGTGGCCAGGGCTGAGCCAGGTGAAAGCCAGGAGCTTCATCCGGTCTCCCAGACACTTGGGTCATCTTCCAGTGCTTTTCCCAGCCCAATAGCAGGGAGCTGGAGGTGGTGCAGCTGGGACACAGACGGCATTTGCATGAGGTGCTGGCCTTGTAGGTGGTTTTACACGCTGCACCACAAGGCCGGCCCCATGGGAAACTTTTTAAATGCAGTACTTTAGAAAAATAAAAAATAAAAGCAGTGCTTTTCATTCAGCCTTTAAAGGCAGAAGTATGTTTTGAGCATGAATTCTGATCAAAGTTCTGATATTTGGACAAGCTAAACCAAATGAAAATTACCTTCATTGATCAAACGGTCAACCCTTTATCATACTTTCCAAACGAAATATGCCCTAGCAAAACGAGGAAGTGGCCGGGCTTGGGTCTGGTGCTGCCCGTGCTTCCCTGCTGGGCCGGTTCTGCCGTGGGGCCAGGGCCCGGCCTCTGCTTCACCCACCTGAGCTTTCCCTGGCCAGGCAGCCTTCTCTTCTCCTTTCTGCCCTCTCCCCACCTCCCTCTCTTTAACCAGAGTATAGTATTCGTCTCCATGTGACTTGGAGTCCATTTGTTACTCCAGTAGACCTTTATCTAAAGTTGCAGAAGGGAAGGTTTTGTCTTCTGTTGAAACGGGACGCTGTAGTGCCTGACCGGCTGCTGTGCGATGCGGACGGGGGTGACTGGCGCCTGCAGCAGGTTGCGTGAGGTCAAGCCCATCCCCGGGGTGTCAGTGGACTTCAGCGACCAGGGAGGGTGGCGGCGTGCCCTGCCTGTGGCTCAGCCCTCTGGATGAGGTTGCGTCTGGCCGCTTCATTTCTGCCACGCAAGGACGCCGCTGCCCCTGTGGCTGAAACAGGCCTTCTGCCGTTAGTGGTGCTCGTCAGCCCTGCGGGCATGGGCGTCGACTCGCTTGGCTGCTCTCAACGGAAGTCGCTCTACGGATCTGCTGTAGGAGCGAAGGTTCTGCTCTGTCAGGTTTCGTGGGATGTACAAGGGGGTCTTCAGAAGGTCCCTGGAAACTGTGTGTTATGAAAATAAACTATGCCTGCATTTCAAATTTTTTGCCCCCCACCCCCAAGTACGCTTATCTTTTAATTCCATTTTTCCATGAGCTTTTGGAAGTACTGTTGTATCTATTGTGAACCCTGGAAGACAAAGAGATCAGATTAGTCTGTGTGGGCATTGTGTTTTTTTTTTTTTTTTTCTGGAAAGTATTTCTTTCCCTTTGATCTTCCTTTAAAATGGATATTTTCTTGGTCCCCAGAGAGGCCCTGAAGAGGAAGGTTAGTGGAGACAGTTGCGCCAGCCCCGTGACAAGTTCGAAGAAGGATGCCCGCTTCTGTGCCGTCTGCAGCGACTATGCGTCGGGATATCACTACGGAGTCTGGTCGTGTGAAGGGTGTAAGGCCTTCTTTAAAAGGAGCATTCAAGGTACAAGAGTACTGTTACCTGCTCTCAGTTTCCAGCTTTGCTTTCAAACAGCTTTGCAGAGGTGGCTGGATAGAAATTCCGCCATCGGCCTGTCAGGCGCACCAGGTCCTGGATGAGCAGGGGTTGGGAGTGGGGGGTAACACGATGGCTTGTCTTCATGTGCAGACCACCTGATTTGCATTGCCTATCTCTGTGCCAGAGCCCCAAGGTTACATAGCCAGCTCCAGTGCACCCCACCTCATCTTCACCCGTGGGGCGGTAGGAGAAGATGTCTAGTTAGAACCCTGTGAAGATATTGGTTGGAGAGAATGTGTGCTCATGAGGGATTGCAAAGACTGTTCCTTCAGACTGACTTAGGTTCAATAAAGGACAAGCACGATTGTTTTGATGGTGGGCTGACTCCTCAGGGAGAGAAACTTAGCATGAGAGGGCTATAAAACGATTATGGGAAGAGGGAATTTAAATGCTGTGGCCCGAGAGTGCAGTGGAGGGTGGCCCAAGTCCTTGGGCCCTGCACCCGCATGGGAGACCAGGAGAAGCACCTGGCTTCGGATCAGCATGGTACGCCAGCTGCAGCGGCCATTGGAGGGTGAACCAACGGCAAAGGAAGACCTTTCTCTCTGTCTCTCTCTCTCACTGTCCACTCTGCCTGTCAAAAAATCTGTTCAAGGGGCAGGCATCTGGCACTGAGATGCTCACATTCCGTATTGGAGTACCTGAGTTCAGTTTGTAGCCCCAGCTCCCGATTCTAACTTCCTGCCGTTCCAGACCCTGGGATGCAGCAGCGATGGCTCGAGTGATTGGGTTCCTGCTGCACACAGGAGTCGCAGCTCCTGGCTGCAGCACTGGCCCAGCCTCAGCTGTGGCAGGGATTTGAACCTGTAGATGGGAGCTCTGTTTCTCTCTCTCTCTCTCTCTCTCTCTCTCTCTCTGTCTCTCTGCACAAAGGATTTATTTTGGTGCAAAAAATTTTCAAATCCATGCATATTGAGGGTTCTTCAAAGAGTTCATGGAAAAAGACACATTATGAAAAATATCTGTGGATTTCAAATAAGCTTATCTCTTAATTTCATTTTTTATCCACAAAATTTTTGAAGTACCCTTGTACATTTTGTGGAGATGATCAGAAACCAGGAATTCAAGGGCAGTGTATTTTTTTTTAAAAAGGTTTCTATTTATTTTGAAAGAATTAGAGAGAAAATGAGAGAGAAGGAGGGAAAGGGAAAGTGATTGATTTTTCCATTCACTGGTTCACTCCCCAGATGGCCTCAATGGCCAGGGCTGAGCCTGGCTGAAGCCAGGAACTTCATCCATGGGTAGCAGGGGTTCAAGTACTTGGACCATCGTCGGCTGCTTTTTCCAGGACACATTAGCAGGGAGCTGGATTGGAAGTGGAGCATCCAGGACATGAACTAGTGCCCAAACGGGATGCCGGCATTGCAGGTGGAGGCTTTACCTGCTATGCCCAACGCTGGTCCCAGGGGCAGTGTATTGTGAGAATTGATCTAGAAGTACATCTCCGCGAGAACTAGCAGAGCCTCCTTTCCAACTCCCTTATTTTCTGGTTTGGTGTAGACCAACCTTCTCCATTCCTCCTAGGCTGAGGTTTTGTTTTGTTTCCTAATCGCTTGTTAAATCGACTTCCAAGTCGCGTGCACTGGCCGTCTTGGTGCACACGTCCCTCCTTCTCCAGCCCTGATGGGCTGGCGTCATTCTCTTGCTCCCTGGTGCTCTTGTCCCCTGTCTCACAGCAGCCCCTCCTGGCAGCGTCCTTTCTTCCCATCCTAGAGCTCCCCTCCTTTTTCTGTCAAAGTCTCTGAACTTTGTTCTTGACCAGTGAGGAAAAGCAACCTTGCACATGGCAAATAGCAGTTTACCCAATTAACTCACCCATGGATAACTCTAGATTTTGAGGACATTTTTACCTGGAGTCCAGAGGGTGGTAAGGAGAAGAATGTACATAGCTGAAGATCAGTTTCCCAGCATTCCCTGGGATCCGCCCTGTTGGTCCTTTTTTTTTTTTTTTAACAGGCAGAGTGGACAGTGAGAGAGAGACAGAGAGGAAGGTCTTCCTTTGCTGTTGGTTCACCCTCCAATGGCCGCCGTGGCCAGCGCACTGCAGCCGGCGCACCGCGCTGATCCGAAGGCAGGAGCCAGGTGCTTCTCCTGGTCTCCCATGGGGTGCAGGGCCCAAGCAATTGGGCCATCCTCCACTGCACTCCCAGGCCACAGCAGAGAGCTGGCCTGGAAGAGGCAACCGGGACAGAATCCGGTGCCCCGACTGGGACTAGAACCCGGTGTGCCGGCGTCACAAGGTGGAGGATTAGCCTATTGAGCCGTGGCACCGGCCGCCCTGTTGGTCTTGACGCCTCCACTTCCTAGCTCTGAGACTTCCCTCCCTGCCTCTTTCCTCCTCTGTGAAATGGACGTGCACAAGATGACGAAAGGTTGATGGTGTAAAAACATGTTCAGTGACTGTGTATTTATGATCCCTGGAGCAGTAGAATACGATAAAGTTGGGTCCATTTCCCTGTCATCTATGGTAAGAACAGTTCAGGTTTTCTGAAACTCAGAACTGAACTCTTGATAAGTTGGCAATTCTACACCTGGCTGAGGTTCTGGGATTTTAACGCTTAATGAAATTTTGACCCACCAACAACTAATGACATGAGTATTCAAAGACCGTTTTTCTGCTGTTGGAGAAACATCTGTATGCGCGAATGCTCTCTGAACGCTGATAACTGACAGCTCAGTTTTGGTTGTTTCCCAGTGTTGTGCCCCCCTACAAAATCAGCCAGGGCTGTCAGGTTCTCAGTGTTTACACAGTCTTTTTTTTTTGACAGGCAGATTTAGACAATGAGAGAGAGAGAGACAGAGAGAAAGGTCTTCCTTCCGTTGGTTCACTCTCCAAATGGCTGCTATGGCTGACACACTGTGCGGATCCGAAGCCAGGAGCCAGGTCCTTCTCCTGGTCTCCCATGCGGGTGCAGGGCCCAAGCACTTGGGCCATCCTCCACTAAACTCCTGGGCCACAGCAGAGAGCTGGACTGGAAGAGGAACAACCGGGACAGAACCGGCACCCCAACCGGGACTAGAACCCGGGGTGCCGGCGCCGCAGGCAGAGGATTAGCCAAGTGAGCTGCGGCGCCAGCCTAAACAGTCTTTAAAAAGGGAACTTTGATATTTTTGTTCTGTCCTTTATAGATCATTTATAAGAACTGACAGCTTCCTTTGGTTTCCTCTTTTGACTTGAAACATAGATAAATTTAAATTGTGATAGAGACCGAATTTCAAATATACTTCAATCTGTGTGATTACATGATCAGGATTAAAAGCAGATTTTTAAAAAAATTTATTTATTTGAAAGAGTTAGAGGGAGAGACAGATCTTCCATCTGCTGATTCACTCCCCAGATGGCCACAACATACAGGGCTGGGCCAGGCCAAAGCCAGGAGCCAGGAGCTCCATCTGGTCTCCCACATGGGTGGCAGGGCCCAAGCACTTGGGCCATCTTGTGCTGCGTTTTCAGGCCATTAACAGGGAGCTGGAGCATGTGGAGCAGCAGGGACTTGAACTGGTGCCCATATGGGATGCCAGCTTTGCAGGCGGCTACACCATGATACTGGTCCCCTTAAAGCAGAAATTAAAATTTAACCTCTTACAGTTACTACTGAACTTTAGCTTCGAAGGGACCTCAATTTATATCTTATTTTTAAAGTTTAATAGGAATTTTGGGAGCAGGCAATAGGATTTCTGTTTGATAAGTAATTTAATACTTACTAAGCAAAATGAAGCAAAACAAGCACAGCTAACGAAACTGCTATTGGTTAAACTAGAAATCTTTTTTTTTTTTTTTGACAGGCAGAGTGGACAGTGAGAGAGAGACAGAGAGAAAGGTCTTCCTTTGCCGTTGGTTCACCCTCCAATGGCCGCCGCGGCCGGCGCACCGCACTGATCCAAAGGCAGGAGCCAGGTACTTATCCTGGTCTCCCATGGGGTGCAGGGCCCAAGGCCTTGGGCCATCCTCTACTGCACTCCCTACTTCCTGGCCATAGCTGAGAGCTGACCTGGAAGGGGGGCAACCGGGACAGAATCCGGCGCCCAACCGGGACTAGAACCCAGTGTGCCAGCGCCTCTAGGTGGAGGATTAGCCTAGTGAGCCGCAGTGCCGGCCCTAAACTAGAAATCATTAAAACCAGCTTTGCTTTTGTCTTTATTTTTTTAAAGATTTATTTTATTTATTTGAAGACAGAGTTACAGAAGATAGAGAGAGAGAGAGTGGTTTTCCATCCACTGGTTCACTCCCCAAATGACTGCATGGGCCAGAACTAAACTGATCCAAAGCCAGGAGTCTGGAGTTTCTTCTGGATCTCCCATGTGGGTACAGGGACCCAAGGACTTGGGCCATCTTTTACTGCTTTCCTAGGACATAGCGGAGAGCTGGATCAGAAGTGGAGCAGCCGGGACTAGAACCAGTGCCCATATGGGATGCTGGCACTGCAGGCCATGGCTTTAACCTGCTGTGCCACAGCACTGGCCCCTGCTTTTGTCTTTAGGATAGGCTGGCTAGTAGCCTGGAGCCTATGGAGTGTTGGCGACAAGCAGATAATGATAACGATCCTCTCTTTGGACCCTTCACACGTTGGTACATATGCAAAGCAATAACTGAAAAATAGCCTCTCGATTCTTTAAAATTGTCCCAGATTGGCCAGGATGGTGCATTACATTCTTTTAAAAAATTTTAAAATCCTGGCCACTTGATTTGTAGCTGCTTGTTGATATTTCTGTCCCCTTCCCTGTACCAGCACACCAGAAACCGGGTCATGCTGGCAATGCCGCAAGCACTGACCCTGGTGGCTTCTTCCCACCGTGAGTTCCCATCACAGAGACACGTGCTGCTCTTGCCTCCTGGGTTATGGACCCAGAGGGAGGGGACATGGAGAGGGGCTCCTCCTTGCTTCTTCTGGTCTAGAATAAGGCAGGCTGGTTTCCAAGCTGTT